AAACTGCATTTGCAGCTAGGTATTACTGATACAACATGCAGTCATACTTTACCTTAAGAGTTATATTCAAAGAATTAGAAGGAGCCTGTCACAAAAGATCTTATTCAAACCTTCATATCCTTCTGCCTCTTTATATCTCTTTCATAAACTGAAATATGTAAGAAAGAATAAGCAGAAAGTGTCAGAGCAGAGTGATTACAGAGAAAGTGAGAGGAAGTGAAGAAGAAAAAGGATTAGAGCAGTGACTTTACAAAAATGACTTATGTAAAGAGGAAGCAAAAGCAGAAGGAATACTATATTGTTTACTAAGTCCTACATAAAAGTCAAAGATCAGACAGCTGACTTCCAGTCCTGAATTTGCCAGACTGAGCAGATAATGTTGGCCAACGCAATTAATTCCTTTTTGCCTTAATTCTTTCTTTAACACAAAGTGGAAAAAGCCTGGCAAGCTCTTTAAGAGGAAAGCATTTCTAGCAACCAAAGTAAGAAAAGACAAATTAAGTGTTAAGGTTCATATATTTATTTTTGTCCATTGATATGCTATTTGGACTATGGGTGAAACCTATTTGTTCCTAGTCTTAAACTGAGGAAAGGAAATAGCTATAAATAAAGATAAAGAACAGTATAACATATTTTAACTGTAATAACAGCTTCTATTTTGAAATAAAATGATATTTCTTTTAGATTGAATAAGGAACACTGAGGTATTCATAGTTATGACAGCTTCTGCTAAGAAACAAATAGAATAATCTTGCTAATTCAGAGATGAATGCACTGCCTGAAAAGTGTTTGTCAGATCTGTGGATCTAGGATTATTTTATGTCACTCATTCTCAGCCAAAGTCTGCTCTTCACCATAACTAAGCACGTCCGAACACATAGTAAGAAATAAGTCTGTTTGATGAGATCAGACAGACAAAGAGTGGTCACAGAGACAGAAGTACGAAATTATTTGTTGCTGGTCACGGAGGCTGTCACTGATGGTGGCAGAATTAGAGCACAGGTCCCGGTAAGATCAGATATATACTGACTGCTGTGCCACACTTCCTTTCAAACCAAAGCCTTTGGGAATGGGGGAACAGTGAAACGCATCTCCACCCTTCATCGGGGAAGGAGCAATCCGTTAATTTAGGCAGTATCTCCCTGCCTGTCATGTATTTGGGCATTCTAAAATACCTCTCTCTGCTTTACCAGCTTCCCAAAAAGACTGAAGTCAGATGGTCTAGTGTCTCCGTGGTCCCCAACATATTTACTACACTGCCTGTCTTTTTATGTAAAGCCTTTTGGAGCTGTAGAAGTGCATGCAAAAGAGCAGCTTTTTCACTTGTATTCGAAGTAAGATAAAACATCACTGAACTGTTCACGTACTCACTGATAGAACAATAGTTATTCAATGTAGAAAACCTAACAGAGGTATTTTGTAAGTCCCTCTTCTGCATACATTGGTATATACTCCACATCATTCCCAGACCTGCTCAAGGAAGAACAACACAACCTTCTACCAGAGATGGGTGGGAGTATAAAAGGAAAATGCAATATTTTTGAATTGAGAAACAGAAGCAGTGATGTCCCCTTCAGTTCTGCTTGTAATTTCAGACAAAAAGTAGGCACATTTTGAGTGAACTAAAAATAAAATCTGAATATTGAATTTGTACAACTCAGATTTGGCTTTTTTAAAAAATTATTATTATTTTCTGAGAAGCTTAATAAACAATGAATGACAACATGTGCATTTAGGTTCCTCTAAGTCTACGGTTCATGTAAAGTGATTTTTCTGCCTTTTCCTTGTATGAGAAAGACATTCAAAATACACTCATTTTGCAAAGACTACTCTCACCTTTTTTACAGGAAATGCCAGCAACTCCAACTGTGTCAGCCCTTAGTTTGAAGCCGTGAAGAATAAGACTCCCATTTCCAGACTGCATTTAAATTCTATGACATTAGAGCAGAATTAAAAGTACTCTGGAAGGAATTGCCTGATTTATTTGTTGTTAGTTCAAAATAAGTTAGCAGCCTATTTTTAGAGAAATACATGGTCTACGTACTTCAGTTAAAGGTCATACTTTTTTCAGTCACTTAATGAACTCAGTTGCACCATACTGTTTGAAAAGGCAACCTGCTTTGACCTAACTGCATATCAGTAGAGCCAGGAATGACCCCTTGAGTTTATCTAGGTTGTCCTGTGTATTTTCCTCTGCTCTTTACCATAGCATTGCCAGTAACATACTACTTTTTCCATCCTTGGTGATACATAGTAACAGTAGCTTAAGGACATTCATTAAAAATTTGTGATGATGGCCAACTAATCTTTTCAGAAATATGAGTTGAAACTTTTATTTCTTTAGCTTGGATCTTTCCTAAGTATTTATGTGGCCAACATAATTTACCTTCAAGACTGCTCTTTTCTTGATGCATAAATCTGGCTTTTTTGTGTTTATTGGGAGATTCCTCTAGCTCAGTGAAAGAAATTTAATATTGTAATCGTTAAGTATGCCCCATGGCTTTATGTAAAGTTATTGCTGACTTCTTCCACTATACCTACTGTAATTAAAAAATATCTTTCTAACCTTTCATTAAACACTTGCAAAAGAAAGAAAAATAATTAAATAGTCAGAAAGAAAAATGCTAGGCTTATTTAAACCATTTTCTATATTCATTTTTGACCTCCAGCTGTATATAATTTGCTTTGTTACAGAGAATTTCTGTTTGACAGTCTTAAAATTGCATTAATGATATATTATATTTTCCTTCTGGAGAAGAAAAAGTAGGAAAAGTTCATCTTGAATGGTTTTGTCTGAGTCCAGTCCTCTCTCCTTTAAAGAGAAAATAAGATAAACTGACAGAAAGAAGAGAGAGAGAATAATAATACCATTCTGCCTTTTGATGATCTCTCTTGCCTGCAGTTTTACTACTGGGAAATTACACTCCCCACACATGGTCTTACAAACCACTCAAAAACCTGTAAATTATTTATAATTTTTATGCTGTCTAAGCTGTCTTTTTTTCAGTATTTCTAAGAATACTGCAATAGGTGGATTCTTCTTTACTACCCAAACAACACAAAGAGAGACACACACACAAAAAAAAAGATAAATAGTAAAATATAAGAAAGAGAATTAAGGAGAAACAAACTCAAAGCTCAGATAAAATATTAAACAATTTTGTCTAATGGATTAAGCTGCATTAGGAGCTTTGGCAATTTTAAAATTTATTTTACTTATGGGCTTCTGCATGACAGGTTCTCCATCCCATGCTTTATCTGCTGTCAGTGTTTGTTCTGCTTCATTTTAGATATATGTTCATGTCCATTGATACCATTATCTCTGAATAACAATATTTTCTCTTTTTGCATGTTCTTCTGACTGAAAATTTAGATTTTAGATAAACACAAAATTTAATAGAAGAACATGTATGTCATTTTGAAATGGCATACATATACTTTAAAGCTAATTCTACCAATAATCCTACAGCCTAAATCCACAGTGGTTTTTCATATCCCAGTTCAGTTCCTAATTTTTCATTTGAGTATAATAGGGCTTTGATCAAAAAAGCATGAAAATTTAACAAATGGCCTTGATTTAATAACATAATCTAGGCCAAATTAGTATCACAATATTGGCTATCAGACACCGCATGAATCTCAGCAAGAATTGCAATGTTCTGCTCAGTTCATCACATGTTGTCTCTGCTGCCTAGAGGGAGGATTTGGCATGTATTTCTCCTGCTTCAGCATGGGGTCCCTCCCATGGGAGGAAGTTCTCCATGACCTTCTCTGACATGAGTCCTTCCAACAGGCTGCAGCTCTTCATGAACTGCTCCAATGTGGGTTCTTTCCACAACATACTGTCCTTCAGGAGCAGCCTGCTCCAGCCTGGGCACCCCGCAGGGTCACAAGTCCTGTCAGCAAACCTGCTCCAGCCTGGGCTTCTCTCTCTATGGTTCCACAGCTCCTGCTAGCAGCCTGCTCCAGTACTGGCTGCTCACAGGGTCACAGCCTCCTTCAGGGTACATTCCCTGCTGCTCCAGCATGGGGTCATCCCCGGGTTCCAGGTGGGTCTTTGCTCCTCATGACCCTCTCTGGCTGCATGGCACAGATGGCCTCACCATGGTCTGCACCACGGGCTGCTGGGGAATCTCTGCTTGGGCGCCTGGAGCACTTCTTCCCCCTCCTTCTCCACTGAGCTGGCTGCCTGCAGAGCTGATCCTCTCACATCTTGCTCTCCCTCCATCTGTCTGAAAATCTTCCCTCTCAAGTATTTTTTCCCTTCTTAACCATATTATCTGAAAAACGCTGCAACTGTTGATGATGGGCTTGGCCTTGGCCAGCAGCAGGACCATCTTGGAGCTGGCTGGCACTGACTCTGTTGGACGTAGGGGAAGCTTCTGTAGGTTCTCATAGAAGCCACCCCTGTAGCAGCCTACCTGAAGGGCAGTAACAGAGATAAAGCAACCAAACTCCTAGCAGGGGCAAATAATTTAACAAATTTCAATGGCCACAATTGGAGGTTTGTGAGCCCACAATGGACACTAGGAAGACCCTTTTTACTCTTCTTGGTACCTTGAAGTATGGCGATGCTTGCAGTTTGTATCTGAAA